TTCTCCATCACTCACTCACGCTCTTATCTTTTTCTCTTAATACTACAGTCTTCCCCCGAACAGAACACACCCTGATAATGAATGTATGCAAGCTATATTTCCGGTCGTCGTGGTTGGGGAAGACGATAGCAATGTATCATACATCCACAAGTTCTCGACCACTGACAGAAGCAAGTAGAGAATTGCGACGAAAACAAGGATGAGAAACCAAACCATACAGACGAGACGAGGCGAGACCAGACCAGAGGAGACAGAAGAGACCAGAGGAGAGAAGAGACCTGACCAGACCAGACCAGACCGGACAAGACGAGCCAGACGAGAGCAGACCAAAAAGTTGCCCGCACACACTGCTAGTGGTCCCTGCTCGTTGCCATCAAATCAATCAAGTCGGCCAGTTGAAAAAATAATAGCGATGTAATGATTAACGTTTAGATAAACGACGCATCGCAGCCGACAACGGAATGCGAGAATGAATCACCTTGGAGGGGGCCGGGAAGGAGAGCATCTGCGAACACATCTCAAACTGTCTCTCCAGTCCGACGACAGGTAATGAATCCGTTTGTTCGCGGTGGCAACCAGGCCGGCAGTACGGGTCGGCCAGCCAGTGAGGGCAGCCGACGTCCTTTTACCAAATCACATTACCTGTACACGTCGGCCACGGGAGCCAGCCGAAAGACTATCCATACCAGCTCCTGTACTCTTCTCTCTCTCTCTCTCTCTCTCTCTCTCTCTCTCTCTCTCTCTCTCTCTCTCTCTCTCTCTCTCTCGCTCGCTCGCTCGCTCTCTCTCTCTACCTACCGACCTACCTAATTCCATGATGACCTGCCCTCTTGACCGACAACCAAGCACCAATGGTGCCTAATCCAAATCGTTTCTCATTCACTCTCCCTCCCATCCTCCTCCTCCTCTCTCTGTCTCTCTGTCTGTTTGTCTCTCTCTCTCTCTCTCTCTCTCTCTCTCTTCCACACACACACACACACACACACACACACAGAGTGACGCAATCGTCTATGGCTTGTGCACGATGAAGCCGGCGCACTGCACCTGGCGCATGTTATCGAAGCCGATGACTCTGATGAAGGCCTTGGGGTATTCCGTCTTGCACTGCTGGATCTCAGTCAGCACCTGCGCGGGGTCAGTGCAGCCGAACATGGGGAGCTTCCACATGGTCCAGTAGCGGCCGTCGTAGTAGGTGGGCCAGTCGCCGTTGGTGCGGCTGATATCACCCACCTCGTCGAACTCCACGGTGGGAATCCATCCCTTGTTGAGCAGGTACTGGATCTGCTTGGCAATCTGAACGTCGCTCAGAGGAGGAAGGTAGGAGAGCGTCTCGAACTTCTTGTTGTTGTACGGGTTCCACACCTTCATGCACTCCACTCGCGAGCTGTTGGACACGGTCTTGGAGGACCAGTCGGTGGGAGCGGCGACCTGGATAGAGGTGGACGCCCTCTTCAGGCCGGTGAACGCGAAGGAGGCCGCGGGGGTGCTGGAGGAGGAACGGACGCTGCTGGAGGCAACAGGGGCTGCGCTCGAGACAGCCGCCGTGGCAGCCGTAGACTGAGCAAGGGCCGCCATCTCGAAAGCTTGGGCACGAAGGAGAGAGGAGGGGACGAGGAGGAGGACGACGACGAAAGCGCTAGCGAAGGGGCTGCACAGGGACTCCTGAGAGCGCTTCGCAGCAGCTAACCCGTGCTGATTCTCAGCGCTTGCCTCCGCTTTTATTCGACATGGATCGCGATTCGCGCGGTAGGGAGGTGCAATTCGTTCGTTCCTTCCTTCGTTCGGTCCTTCTTGAGGTCCCTCGGGACATCCGGACGTGTAACAATCGATGCCTGTGTGATCTGTGTCCGTGTGTGTGTGTGTGTGTGTGTGTGTGTGTGTGTGTGTGTGTGTGTGTGCGTGTGTGTGTGTGCGTGTGTGTGTGTGTGTGTGTGTGTGTGTGTGAGAGAGAGAGAGAGAGATTGGATAGAGAAAAGAAAAAGAAAGGGTTGGTATGCTGTCCCCAAAAGAATGACAGGCACAAGTTGAGGGAATGGCGTTGCGAACAGGAGGAGGGAATGGTTCGAGGCCACAGAAAACTTGAGGAGGAAAATCCTTTACGGGCGGGACGGAAGAATTTTCCGTGTCAAATTTCTGTCGACTCGAACCTTTTCCTCCCCCTCCTCGTCGTCCTTCTCCTCCTCCTCGAATTCCGACGAATGAGCGGAATATACAAGCGGACGCGGTGTGGTGCGTGTCGGTGGTCTGCATCTTCGCCAGTGTAGCTGCTGCTCAACTCGAGGGTTACATGCACTTTCGGGGGAAAAGAAAGAAAAGAATGACGCGCGCCGAAGGAGCACAAAAAAGCCGGAAGAAAGCAAACATAACACTCAGAAATGCCCTTATCGAAACGTACATGGCCACTTGTCACTTCGAGGGACATCGGAATGCACGTGGCTCGCGTGGATGTCCATGTACGCTGACGGAGACGAGGCTTTTCTGGCCCTTGCAAACAGCTAACAACACAGGTTACTAACGTTTGGGGGATCGGTTCGTCATCCTCGCTTTTCGTCGTCATCGTAGGAGGAGGAGTATGTTTGAGATAGCTCACAGATCAGCCACAGCCACCTTGGGGAACCTTGGAAAGAAAAACACAGAGCGGAAAAAGAGAGGGAATTCTATGTTCTATCTTCAGCTCGCTAGCTGGTAGGTAGCTAAAAAGTAGTCCAAAGAAAACGCCCAGCTTTTTCTTTCTTTTTTTTTTTGTGTCTTTTGGACCACATTTGGTGAGTGACTGGGCCAGCGAGAACCCAAAGAGCGGGGTCCTTTTTGCCCTCTTTCTTTTTTGCTTTTGTTTTCTTAGCCAAACACTCTAATCAATCCAATCCCATGGCCCCTGCGCAAGGATGACACGCATAAATCGAGAAATGGTCCAATCCCATAACATTTTCGGACAACAAACAAACAAAAAAATCCCATCCCGTCCCATCCCATCCAGTACAATACAATTGCTTGAAGAACACCGGAATCTGGTTCTTTCTTTGGTCAGGGTACATCGGCGTCGGTTACACGTGCGTGACATATAAATAGATGCATACGTCCATCCATGCACACTACATACAATCATGCATGTAGACGTACATGCATACATACATACATGCATGCATGCATGCATACGTGCATATCTGTTTGCCCGTCATTGTGTCGCGGTGGGCCTACCTCCGCTGCTTGCCAAACGTTTGTGATTGAAGAATGGCGAATGAATTTGCGCAGTTTTGACGCAAGGACAATCCCCCTTCCCCCACCGGCTTTTCACTTTCCACGTTTGAAGAGAAGACACAGAAGAAGTGGAGCGAGGCAAAGGCATTGGGCCTCGCTCCACTACCGGTAGTCGCCAAATGAGGATGAATCTTCCGCCAGAACGTGGAAAGATAGACCGCCATATGTTTTGTCTTTTGTGCATCTGATGAGTAGTGGAGCGAGGCCCTTTCTATGTTTAGTGGTGGCGTGTGACGGAAACGTGTGTGTCTGGAAATTTGCGCAGAAAACAGAAAAGCAACGGTGTGTGGAGAGCGTGCTGGCAAAGTGGATTAGGGCCTCGGCCGCACCACTCACCAAATGCACAAAATTAAAATGAATCTTCTGCTAGAACATGGATGGAAAGATTGACCGCGATCATTTTTGTCTTCTGTACCTTTTGGTGAGCGAGAGAGGTCATGGGGGACAGCGGACGAGAGCGGGGATGGGCCTCTCTCCACTAGTCGACATTCTTTTTTTCTCTCTGGGGGGCGTGATGTACTCAACATTCGGATAAGCAGCGGGTGTTTGGGTGCTTTTCTATCGTTTTTCCTTTTTTCTAATGCTTGATGAGCAGTGGTTTGGATTGGGTGCCTACCTCACACTGTGCCCAGCAGGGCCTGTGACTCCACTGCACAGCATTTTTTTTATTTTATTTTTTATTATTTTTTTTTTTTTGAGCCTGTTTTTGCCGAACCTGAATTACACAGCGCCGAATTTGCCGAGCTGTCCCGTGGCACTTGTCGGGGATTTTTCTTCTTTTTTGGTTTTGGATACCGGTAACGTTTCCACTTTTGGTCTGTCGGCCTCCAGTACAGACCGAGCCACGGACACAACTTTGGGCGTGTATGTGTGGTCGCAAGGGCCGTATGTGTGGTTGCAAGGGCCGTGGTTTTTAACTTTTCCTGAATTTTGTTTTTTTGCTCCGGTTGTCGGTGTGAGGTCTCGCGTGCCGTTCCACCGGTGACCAGTAGGCTGGAATCGCATCGCGACGGTGGTTGGTCATGGTTGGACGGTTGGACGACGATGGTCGCCATCACTGTCCACTTCCGTCACGTCCCGACCTCCCCTTCCTCTGTGTGTGCGTGTGTGTGTGTGTGTGTGTGTGTGTGTGTGTGTGTGTGTGTGCGCGCGCGCGAGTGTGTGTGTGTGCGCGTGCGCGAGTGTGTGTGTGTGCGCGCGCGCGAGTGTGTGTGTGAGACGACTGCCAATCGTCATGCGACAGTGCACGTCATCCCCACTGCCGATTAGCTGCCCAAAAGTGACAAATGACGGGGTCAATGTTGGGCAGCCAATCGGCAGTGGGGATGACATGATATGCTCGCAAAAGGGCAGCCAATGGTCAGCAGGGATGACATGTTGAGGCGGCCGATGATTGGTCGTCGACTGTCCATGTCTATCTAGCCCTCTTTCTCTCTCTCTCTCTCTCTCTCTCTCTCTCTCTCTCTCTCTCTCTCTCTCTCTCTTGCTCTCGCTCTCCCTCTCTCTCTGGCTCTCGCTCTCGCTCTCTCTCTGACTCGCTCTGTGACCTCACACTCACGCACACCCACACCCACACGGCCCTTCATTTCTGGCTTTTCGGTCACTATATAACGGAGTTGAAGCTGCGATGTGTGTCATTGTCAACATCGAAACGACAGCTTCGACATTGATTGTGACATCCATCGCCGCTACAACCGGTGAGTCTTCAAGGAGACTCTCTCTCTCTCTCTCTCTCTCTCTCTCTCTCTCTCTCTCTCTCTCTCTCTCTCTCTGTGTGACCTCTATCTTCCTCACTGGACCTCATACTCACGCCCACCCACCCACACACGACCATTCATTTCTGGCTTTTCGGTCACTGTATAACAGAGTTGAAGTTGCGATGTGTGTCATTGTCAACATTGAAACGACAACTTCGACTTTGATTGTGACATCCATCGCCGCTACAACCGGTGAGTCTTTAAGGACTCTCTCTCTCTCTCTCTCTCTCTCTCTCTCTCTCTCTCTCTCTCTCTCTCTCTCTCTCTTTGAAAGAGACACTGTTTGAGCTTGTTTTTTTTTTTGCCTTTTCGCTGCTTTATTCATTTGTTGTTATTTATTATTGTTTTCCCTATGTTTATTTCGTGTTTGTTTTTTTCCTTATATTTCTTCTTTCTGCGTTCGCCATTCGGATTCATATCTATTCACGAAGTTGACGTGGTCCTTCATTTCCACGTTACTTTCATGCGACCCATTGTCGTTCTACCCTTCCTCTCTCTCTCTCTCTCTCTCTCTCTCTCTCTCTCTCTCTCTCTCTCTCTCCGCTTTCGTACGTTTAAAGATCGTTGGCGATGTGTGTGGGGTGGTCATTGGAAGGTATACGCGTATGGGTTGCACTATTTCATTGCCACGGTGGACGTGACGGCCACGTGATGCGCGTATTGTAGGGGGAAGAGAGAGAGAGAGAGAGTAAGAGGGGATAACGACAACGGGGCGCGAGAGCGAGTGATATATATATACATATATATATACCGAGAGAGAGAGGAAGAAGAAGAAGATGTGTGTGTGTGTGCGTGTGTGTATGTGTGTGTGTGTGTTAGGTTTTTATTTTTTTTTACATGTTTTTCTTTCGTAATCTGCTTCTTCTTCGTCTTTTCCTTCTTCTTCTTCCATTCCTTATCCTTCGACTTCTTCATTGCGTGGCGATTCTGAAAATTAATGTTTAGAAATTTGCATTCAATTCGTGCTTCAATTACGAAATATAGCGATGGCATTGAGTACGCATCCATATGTCAATATCGATTGATTGATTACAATTTTTTTGTAATGTGTTTTTTTTTTTTTTTTTTTTTTTTTCCGTATTTTTAGTTATTATTTTTCCCTTTGGTTAGATCAGTTGATGACTTGATTTATTTCGGCATTCCCTCACCCTCTTCGATTATTCAACACAGTTAAGAAAAAAATATCCAAAGAGTTCATTGATTTATTGATCGATTGATTGACGTATTGGTTGATTGATTTTTTTGTTTATCTATTGATTGGGGGCGCGTACCTATCCACTACCCTTATCAATCAATCAATCAATCAAACTCACACACACTGACACCTTCAAACATTCAATCTATATTCCAAACAGTCAACAGTATACAGTAAAAATAAATAAGAATTAAAAAAAAAACACCCAGACCATTCTTGGCGCGGTTGTGTCCAACGACAGGAAAGATATGGCAGTCTCGCATGAAACCGCAACGTTAAGGCTTCGAACTCCTCACCTTCAAATTGAAGAAAATTGTTTCAAAAATAAAAGTGTGTGTGTATGGGTGTGTGTGTCTGTGTGTATCAATCAATTAATCAATTAATCAATCAAGCAGTCGAGCATCCAATCAATCAATCAATCAATCAATCAATCAATCAATCAATCAATTAATTGATTGATTGGTTTGTTAATTGATTGATTGATTGAACTGTGTGTGTGTGGGTGTGTCTGTGTGTGTGTGTGTGTGTGTGTGTGTGTGTGTGTGTGTTTGTGTCTATCAATCAAACACATGCACACACACAACAGGAAGCAGGAAAACCACACACGCACAACATTCAATCAATCTCATCTCTCTCTCTCTCTCTCTCTCTCTCTCTCTCTCTCTCTCTCTCTCTCTCTCCTACTTTGAGCAATCAATCAATCAATCAATCAATCAACCAGCCGAACATCCATTAAATCAATTGATTCATTGATTGATTGAGTGACTAATTGATTGAC